ACTTGATCTTCACATCATCACTTAAGTTTCTAGATGTCTTCAGACTTGAAAAAACAAAAAGCCTTTGTTGCCTATCTAGAATCCTTACATGTCTGACCAACAGCTGAAATTACATCACTTTCCTGTGCATCACAAGCTCTGAAAAGACAACTGCCTCCTCAAAAGAGATGGAATGGAAATGCATATTTTTAAATCAGTGCACTGCACACACCCCGTTACCAAATAAAGAGAATGAGCAACCCTTCCCCCCCAAAAACATCTGGGCTTCGTTAGTGACCAATCGTGGTTCAGCAAAGGCAGCTAGTTTCAAGGTCAATCTCAGTATCTCCAGAGGGCTGGTGGGTTGGTTGGTTTTTACCCTTTACAAACCACCAGTTCCTATTGGGGGTACTCCCTTTTCTGTCCTGTTTCCTTTCTCATTAAGATATTCTGAAAACAAAACACCTACAAACACCTTTGTTCCCACTGATTTACTCTTTATTACTCTGTCCTTGCCTCTTTTCCAGAAGCACTAGTTGCTTCCCTCGCAACATCGGGATGAAGCCTTCCACCCTCCGGGTTCCCATCTTCTTGAGCCTTCACTTCATGCCCTAAAACTTTTTCCAAATATTTTCCATCACTAACTCTGTTCTGGGATGAGCTCCCTTCCTAAGCTAAAACTAAGGAAGGCAAATATTAAACGCCTCGTCTCAACTGGCAGAAGGATTGAGTAACGGAATTCTATGGAGCCTCCAAGAAACCAGCGCATCTCTGGACGTGCATAATTCTGACCCAGAGGAGGAATCATGCTTTTCAAACTGATGAACTACACATGACGCCAAACCTCAACCGTGAGAAGAGAGGCTTATAAGCGGCTATGTACAATTCTCCCCTGAATGGAAAATAGACTTAAAATGAACTTTAGGATTATTTATAAGCAGTTCTTAAGCTTGACGATACTCAACTGAGATCCATTAAAGACATAATGGTACCACCAAGGGTGTTTGGTTAGTTGATGCCTGTCACCTTGCCCCTCGTGTGTGTGGCTACGGGTACTGTAAGTAAGTAGGGTGTAGGCTGTCGGTGGTAACTACATGAAAATGTACAGAGGAATGAATCGTTGTGTCTAACATTATTTGGGCATTCGCGTGTGCTAAGCCTTTTATTAAGCCCTTTGCATGCGTGATCTTATTTAATCCCCACAACAACTCTATGTATGAGAAATATATCTATCTAACAACTATGAAAAAAGTACTGCTCTTGCCACCTTCTTAGAGAGAAGGAAACCGAATCTTTTAAAGGTCACATAATTGGCTCAAGACTCCACGGTTAGTCAGGTGATGGGGCACAATCTGCACCCAAGCCATCTGAATCCAGACCCTGAGCTCCCAGCTATGAAACCAGGAGGAAATGTAGGTCCCACTTCTCTTTCCCGCCTTTACATCTTGCCTCCTTCACACCAAAAATTTTTAAAAAGCAGAAGTCAGGGGGCCTGGGTGGCTCAGTGGGTTGAGCCTCTGCCTTCTGCTCAGGTCGTGATCTCGGGGTCCTGGGATCGAGCCCCACAGCGGGCTCTCTGCTTCCCCCTCTCTCTCTGCCTGCCTCTCTGCCTACTTGTAATCTCTCTCTGTCAAATAAATAAAATAAAAATCTTTTAAAAAATAATAAAAAAATAAAAAGCAGAAGTCCAGACTAGTTCACTGAAAGAATAGACCCAAAAACTCTTTCAAACTCAGGAGGCTGGGGAGTGCACAAAAGAGAATAAAGGAAAGAACAGAAGTACTCCTAATCAAAATCCAGTTAATATACTCACTGGATTGGCCAATGGTCCATCCCCTTGACGAAGCAAGACTGATGCAAGTTTCTGCCCTACATCTACATGTATAGTTTTGGTTAGTCAACTCCTGAGTAGCCTACCATGTGCCAATTCCAGTCACAACAGATGAGAGGATTCCACGACAGACTTTTTTTTCCAGGCCTATTACATGACACTGTAAGAGTTATAGGACATCTTTTTAAGAGTGAAAAAACTTTAAAGCAAAACAAAACAGCTCAGAAGAATAAAGGGGTAGCAATTTGACTTTGAGGGCATGTACTCAGCAAATCTAGTCAGTTGAAAAATAGATCTCTAATACAAGGAAATCGGTGAATGACACTGTTGGAAAGAATTGAACTCACTATGAAGTACAAGCCCATTTCCTATGGAAAATGCAATGATTTCTTTCTTTAGCACCAGCCTTCCAGCAAAGAATGCCACTGAACTGAATGTCTGGCCATGAGTGGCTGCAGACTCTACCCAACAGAATATACACAAGCGAAGAGGAAACACACCGTCTAGAAAAAATACACAATTTCCTTCTACTTCCTCTTCTAAGTAGAACAGCTCTTCTTTGGGGACCGAGTCAGGGAGCTGTGACAGTTCACTCACTCCACAGTATTTTCCATTCTCACAGGCTGTAAAATTTAGAAATCACCACCGTCAATGAGGATGACCCACTTATTCCCAGAAAGCAAGGGCCTCCCCGGTGGATGCCTCTCATGGGCTTCTTACCCAGCATGAAGATCAGATACCTGGAAACCATATCTCCAACGAGTAAGAATCCATTAAGGAGGGGCGCCTGGGTGGCTCAGTGGATTAAAGCCTCTGCCTTCTGCTCAGGTCATGATCTCAGGGTCCTGGGATCGAGCCCCGCATCGGGCTCTCAGCTCAGCGGGGAGCCTACTTCCCCCTCTCTCTCTGCCTCTCTGCCTACTTCTGATCTCTGTCTGTCAAATAAATAAAATCTTAAAAAAAAAAAAAAAATCCATTAAGAAAAAAAAAAAAAGCACATAGGTCCTTGGCTGAAAACTGGCTGTGTAAAGATGAGTGGTGGGAAGAAAAGCCATAAAGATAGGTGGGTGTGAAAAACCTAAACTTAGAGAAACAGAGAGTAGAATGGTGGTTGCCAAGAGTGGAGAGTGTGGGGGAAATGAGGAAGTGTTGGTCAAATGATACAAATTTTTGGTTATCAAGCCTGGGCATCTAGCATGCTGATTATAGTTAACAACACTGTGTTATATGCTTGAAAGTTGTTAAGAGAGTAGATCTGAAATGGCCTCACCACAAAAAAAGGGAAATGGTAATTATGTGAGGTGACCTTAAACAAACGTTATAGCAGTAATCATTTTACAATACATAAGTATCAAATCAATATTTCATATTCCTTCAGTCTACACAACGTTATAGGTCAATGATCTCTCCGTAAAGCTGGGGGATACAAGAGAGGCCACACTCTCGCGCCCCCTAACTTTCACTGTCTTGGCTTACGATTTATTTCATTTTAGCAACATTAATCTCGTGACTTCCAAGAACTTACCATTTTCTATAGAAAATATACTCTCATGAGTAAAAGTGAAAATAATTACTCTGAATCTTCCCAGGAAGGAGGCCTTAGGGACAGTAAGCAGAGGCTGCAAGGAGGCAGATAGAAGAATTTTCTAATTCCGAAAGTTCCGAGCTTTCCAAGAAGGAAGAGGCAGCCTTAAGAGGTAGTGAGTTCCCTAACACTAAGGATCTCAAGCAGTCCAGATGATTACCGCCTGGTGAGTAGGTCTGGAGAGAATTCACTTATTGACCAGAAGGTTGAATGAAATTCTCTTACTTTAAGGTTACATTGCAACGCTGAGATGTTTTTAATCTAAAGATCATCCCCATTTCCTTGTGCTAAGAAATCTAATCCCAACACATGTTGAGCAGAGGAAAAAAAAAATACAAGATGAATAAATTAAATGAAAGGCAATACCACAGTATAAATAGAAAGTGATGTAGAACTCTAGAGGAGAAAGGAATGGCATACCAACAGGAAAATATAATACAGCAGAGCAGCAAAGACACTTAAAAAAGATGAAGCCTGGGGCGCCTGGGTGGTTCAGTGGGTTAAGCCTCTGCCTTCCACTCCGGTCATGATCCCAGGGTCCTGGGATCGAGCCCCGCATCGGGCTCTCTGCTCAGCAGGGAGCCTGCTTCCCCCTCTTTCTCTTCCTGCCTCTCTGCCTACTTGTGATCTCTCTCTCTCTCTCTCTCTCTGTCAAATAAATAAATAAATAAATCTTTAAAAAAAAAAAAAAAAAAAGATGAAGCCTGCAGGATAGATCAGGGAAGAGAGAAAAGGAAAGCCAAAGGTCCCATTGCAGAGGATATGTCCTATAGAGGATGCCTTTATCTTTCTTGAGAAATGGCTTTATTCATTTTTAAGGTTTTTCTCCTCTGTCAACGGGGCAGACAGACCAGAAGAACGTGGGTAGTGTAGCAGCAAAGGGAACAAGGTGGTAAAATGAGTGAAGCTCCTTGGTGAGCTCTGGATTTCTGGCCTCAAGGAGCTGCAGCATCAGTGTGCCTGTCGATCAAGAGCACCTGCCTAGAAGCCACAGTCATTAACGTCAGTCTGCAGGAATGACCACTAACGGAAGCAAACCTCTGAAACTGAAAACATGGTTTCCTAAAAAGCCGCTGTAACAAGGAAAAACACAAGCCACCTCGAAAATGAGATGTGTCCAAAGCAAAGCCATGAAGGAAACAAGAAAGAAAGAGAGAGAGAGAGAGAAAGGAAGGAAGGAAAGAAAGAAAACGTTACAAAGTTATCTCATACACATTTCATCTGAATTTTATCACCATTTCTAATCAACTTCCAAGGTTTCATAATAGCCTTTAACCTTAGTTACTCAACCCACGGAACAAGTCATCTCATTGTTACGGGGGTTTGAAGGAAGAGTGGAGACTCTTTTCATGTTGATAAGAGATAGAAAGAGGAGTCACTCCCAGGAAAGAAAAGCATTGTGAGTAAACTCCTGGAGCCTAATGGTAAAGGGCATGATAATTCCGTGCTTGCCTTAACCCTTTCAAAGACCATGGAACCAGAAGTCAGAAATACATGTAACTGATAGAAAATAAAAGTAACCTTCATTTAAAAAATGGAAAAACAGAAAATTTTCATTACCTTAAAAAAAAAAAAAAAGCCCAGAAAATATGTCTGATTACTCACCCATTTCCTAGGTCTGCCTCTTGGCCGTTTTTCTCCAGTGGCTTCTGCTTTCTGCAAAATGAAAAAGGAAGTCATATTGTTTCCTACCTGACATTATTTATAAGCGCTGCACCGAGGGACACATTCCAAGTAAGACTGTTCTGGTTTGCGATGACGTATGGAGATTGCTTTAACAATCCCGTTCTCCTTGAAGGCTCATCTTCTCGTCGGAGTAGCTCCTCCTTCCCCAGTGTTTCATGGTATGATGCACAGAGACATCTACTCATCTCTCACCCTCAAACACTCCCCCGGAATGATCTCCTCTGAAATGCATGAAAACGCTTTAAATAAGCCATTTCGCTTTTATTTCTATCCACGATTAAAAAAAAAAAATACTCCCACATATCCATAATTGTATAAAGGAGTATTTTAGAAAAGTAATGGCTCTTAACTGATTTTCTTTCCATATCACAGCTAAAGTTATGAAAATTAAAACTGATTTGTTGCTTTACAACTTACAAAGCACTTCCACCTACATTGCTAATCAAAGTAGTTCCAAAGTAAGGAAGAATACATAGGCTTCTGAGTCAAATAAAATGAACATTTGCATTCTTCTACATAGTTAACTTTTTTGGGGGCAGTTCCTTGCCAAAAAGTCACGTGTCAACCAATTCATTGAAACAGAATGAGAGAGAGAGAGAGAGAGAGAGAAGTTGGCAAAATCATCCATGTGTGTCCCTGTGATGGAAACTAGGGGTGCCAAAAACCAGCAATTAATAAAAATGCAGTATTATTACCATTAAGTCCCTACTCAACACAGACCTGACATGAATGTATTTCTAACTACCTTGAGAGTTTGTTTTATTGCTTCAGAGATCTTATCTGGTATTCCAGTTGTTTTTGCCTTTTGAATCAAATTTTAACATCATCTATAAAGTAATTTCCTTATGTTTATGACCCCTACTGCAATCCTTAAATACACCAAAACACACATACATACACACAACATACGTCTCCTATAAAAACGCATGATTATACTTTTCAGGAAAAAGAGAAGTTAGTACACACTCTTCTATAGAAGAATTACCCCAAGGCTATATAAACACAAAAATACAGGTAACCTGGGCCAGCATAACTTGTTTGGCATCGTGCTTTTGTTACCTAAGTTAGCAGCTGGTAGGTGCTTGCTACGGTGATAATACCTGTTTAAAATGTTAAAACTGTCTACACTGCCAAGTGAGATTCTCCTCTTTTCTCTTTTCAATCTGCCTTATAAAAAGAGATGGAGATAGATAATAGATAGATAGACAGACAGACACAAGATAAGCCACAAGATTCCTCACAAATAGCATCTCCCTGACCTGGCATTACTACACAACAGGCCGTAGGAATTAACCCAAGTTCTGTATAATACCATTAGTTCACATCTATTGAGCACATGTGTTATTTTCATTCTCAATCTTGACAACAGCCTTGTACAGTAGGTATTATAATTTCTCTAATTTTGCAGGTGAGCAACTAAGTTTTAGAGAGCGGAGGAAGGTCACACACAAAGGCGGTACAAGGCAAGCAAGGGAGCCTGGAATTTGAGCCCAGTTCTGTTGGCCTGTAGAGACTGGCTTCCTCCCCCCTCTTAAGAGGACTACCTCCCCTTAGCGTATGTGCATTCACTACCACACAGGAGACATTTCAGTCAACTAAAGTTGGGGCTGACTCAGCTAATTTCCCCAAACAGAAGGAAACCTGGTGGCCTTTAGAAGCTCAGCCTAACGGTCAGGTTTGGGCGTTGTGCTGTGGATCATTTGTCACTTGTGAACGGACTGCACAGAAGAATCGTTTATTGTCAGGGTTAGTGGCATTTGTCTTACCTTTAGTCATAAGGGCGTGAATTAAATTAAATGGAAGCCAGGAGTGCCCAGTGAATCACACCCTCTTTCTGAATGCTGTCTTAGGGAGAGGGAGTTGTCTAAAGAGAAACACAGACTCTACTTTGGAAAGCTTGGACTTAAATCCTGGCTCTGCCATTTTAGCTTTATGACTTTGGGCAGGTCTCTGAGAACCTTAATTCGGTTTCATGTATGAAATGGAGATAATGCCTCCTGGAAGGAGCCAAGTGCCCACCATAAATGAGCTGCTTAATAAGTGCTCTCTCACCCCCAACAAGATGGAACCCTTCAAGGGTCAGTTTTCCTTCTAGTTAGTCCGATCTCCAAGAATTCAGTCAATGCTAATATTCCTTTACACCCATCTGTCACCTTTCGAATGAAGCTTTTAAGAAACCCTTGGGCTAGTACATAGTGAGTTCTAGGAGTACAAAATTCCCTAATACAGAAGCAGTGTCTGATTTAATCCTTGGGATCAACTGTGAGATTGCAGTTTATCCAGCAGTAAATTACACAAACATGGAAGATAGAAATCCTTTTTAATGGGCACAGGAATGGTGGGTGGGGTTAAGAGGAGGCGGTTATTGACCTTCAAGGCTAAGGGGGCCACACCAAGCTTCCTTGGTTCAGTTGTTATGTTTCAGGGGCCACTAAGGGATCCGGGCATATCTAAAATCTGCTACAGAGAGGCTGTTTTCTAAAAGGGTTTCGTTGCATTTCAGAGTCAGAGAAAGCAAATCTCTCCAAGGGAAAGCCCTGCAAATAAGAGGAGTTTAAAATGAGCATCTCATTGACAAAAAGCCCATTCAAAAATAAAATTCGCACCATTAACTAAAGGGCAAAATATCACAATTATCACTTGGACTTGTTAAAAGCAAACTCGCTCCTTGGTCTCCAGGCCAGTGTTACATGTAAACTGAAACCCTGTTCGGAGTCTGCATCTAGGAGAAACACATTAGCTAGGCTGTGTGGTGTCGCTCTGGGAGGTTTTCATTGTTCTTTAAACCCACATTATTTAATCATTCTGATCAAACTTCACAAAGGCTGCAAAACAAGTTAGGATTTTAGTTTGTAAACCAGCAGAGATCCAGGGTTTTTATATGGAGGAAAGCACTGGCTTTAACTTTTTTTTTTTTTCTGTGTTTAATGCTCTTCAGAATATTACTTTTCAATAGGAGAAAAACAAAACATTTCAGGCTCTCGTTTTGCTTTTAATACATCAACATATACAATGTTGTGGGAGTATATATTTGGTTTCCCTTCTCCAGAGTGGAATTTGGTTCTATACGACGAACCCATGTATAATTGAGACAGTAACTTATTCTCAGTATTTATAGTTTCTGGGGGTGGAGGGGTAGGGGGAGGGAAAAAAGGCTGGGAATTCTGTATTTGTAAAAACTGAAATTTCAGACTATGGCCACATGGTTTTACGATTTACCACATCATATCTTGTTAAAAGTGTTACTTATTCTTTGCTTATATTCATGTTTTGCCTTTAAAAAAAAAAGTTTAGGTTCGGAACTGTTATGTTTAATTGTATAATATGGTTAGAAGCAAGTTCATGAGGGTTGAGAAGAATGTCAAGTGGGAAATGTAATTTTTTCTCTTTCTAAGAAGTCTGGTACTTGAGGCTCTTACATGTACTCCACATACACACACACACACACACGCACGCACGCACGCAAAATTAATTGAAAAAGGAAATTCATCTAACAAATGTAACTCTTAAGCTTGGAAACAGTGCCTACATTAGCACCTGGTACATAAGATGTGCTCACACTCTTATTGAATGAAGAAGGAAGGAAAGAGAAACACTGGTGTTTATATCACGTGTGTCTTATTTCCTTCTTCCCATCAGAATTCTACAGCTTGGCAGGAGCTTTAGCAAACATTTTGTCTAGACCCCTCACTGAACAAATAAAAAAACTGGATGGGTTCTGATCTCCAAAGACCTATAGCCCTGTGAGTTCTGAGGCCCAGAAGTCTGGGGGTATCATCTGCAGGAGGCACCCATTTCGATTCCCTTTAAAAGCCTGTAGAGAACTTCTCTCCAAAGGGTTTCTTGAAACCTAACTTCTAACATGCCTTTCAGGTGACTGGAGAGAACATAACCTACATTGTAGCAAATATTTTACAAAACATCGGACAGCATATAGTAGTGGGAATGTCCTAAGCTTTAGAATGAGATTTGAATTCAATGCCTTGAGCCACCATTTTCTAGCGTTGAACATGAGACTGAGTCACGGTTTACATCTTGAAATCAGTTTTCTCATCTGTGAAATGAAGACCATAATACCTATGTCAGAGGATTGAAGAGTTAATATTTGCATAAAGTGACTGAGAAAAGCTCCCAGCACATGGTGGGTACTCAAGTGTAATTTCTTCTCTCCCTCCATATTTTAAAATGTTACCCTTAAAAAGAATACCTCCTTCAAATAAATAAATTAATTTAAAAAAAACTTGCAATTCTTGAGTGATTTTTCTAAGCATTCCCTTACTTAAATAGGACAGCAATTACGTGCTCAGTGTCACAAAATGTGAGATCAAGCCAACTGCCCACGTTCATAAGCAGTGAAGCTGAGACCCAGTGTGATTTCAAGGCAATAAAGGGTCTGTTCTTCTGGGAGATATTTCATAGAAAATAAAGGAGCTATGGGCAGATTCAAAAAAAAAGAGAGACAAGAAAAACTTCCAGGGTGAAAATCAAATGAGTCGTTAACAGTAAAACATTTCCAGGATTCCTATGAAGACATGGAGAATTGCTGAGATTGGAAACCAAAAGAATTATCCAATTCTGACTTCTTGGTCAAATTTAGATAGCTATTAATTTTTGTTACTTTAATGCTCTCATCACATTTTATATGTACTGTGATAATGCATGAAAACCTTAACTCCCTCACCCCAAATCAATCAGTGCCTCAGCACACAGATGGGGGGGTAGCGGGGTGGGAAAGCTAGAAAAATATCTGGGCAGAGTACCTTCTTTTGTTTTCAGGTATCTTTACAGACATGTTTTTAAGATTAAGACCTGTAGACAAGAGCATATGGAGCAAACTATTCAACGTCTAGAAAGTCACATTTTATTTCTTTCAGCTGTCCTTTTAAACATATAAACAGTGCAAATCAAAGTACACGGGCATCAAAACCAACTGGAATCATCGATCAGGCTAAGCACTGGGTACTTCTCAT